GGATTTTTTTTTTGAATTATTAGTTTTGCCAAATTTATTTAATATTTATATATCTGTTCTAATCCTACATGAATACTTCACGTTAAATGAAACTATTTTTTTCACAGATAAGCTCTTTTTTCAAAGCTTTGAATTTTTTTAAGATATTTCTTTCGTACATGAAACAACATTCTGAACTCTTGCGAATTCTAGTTCAAACCGAACGGCAAATTAAATATTCGAAGTACTCTAAACGGTCTTGAATCTTCTCATATCCTGCGTTGTTAAGTCCAGTTAAGATTCCTTAACTCAAGGTCTATTTCTATTTTATTTATTCAGCTTAATTTAAACAGGTTCTTTAATCATTAACCGAGTGTCTATCTTTTAAGAGGTTTAAGATTTTAACAAAACACAAGCATTAACTGTCGTCTCTTTTTTTAGTATAAATATCCTGCGTTCCTTTTTATGAAATGAAATAAACTCATATAATATTGTTTAAACATTTTATCCAATAATTTGAATAGGTTGATTTCAATTTTAATATAATTGAAATCACTGGTTATTAAATGCGGAAAGAATAAGAAGAAAGTCAATCTACTATTACATAACTTTTTAATAGTAAATTTAAAAAAAATATTATAAATTAAAGTAGGTAAATTATAATTAATTAAATACTTTGACTGAGGAGCAGAATACAATAGAACGGCAAATGAAGAAAACAAAAAGTCTGTAAACTTATTTTGAGTTTCCAATCGTAAATGACATTATTATTGGATTTTTTTTTAAAAGAACGTGACGTGTGAGTAAATCATGGCCCCGATATCGTCCTTTCGGTGTGGTAAAATGGAAAAAGCCTCAGAGATCGTCGTGATATTTGATACATATTGGTTTAAAATCCACTATGACTACTTTAATTTTTCCAATAAAAGAAGACAATCGTTTTTGGGCCCGCTAGAAATTTTAACGTAATTTAATGATTTTAACCAGAGATGCCGCGAATTCTCGCTATTATTTGGTATTCCGTGATTAAGAGCCGTGGTAGCTCAGATGGTTAACGCTGCTGTAAATATAACAGAACGCGAGTAACCCGGGTTCGATCCCCGCCGGCACCAATGAAATTGTTAATTGCAATTTTAAGTGCTGATTTACCACGTGCTCGGCGGTGAAGGAAAACATCGTGAGGAAACCTGCATGTCTGAGGAATAAGAAAAAAAAATATTTCGAAGACATGTGAAGTTCGCCAACACGCATTGGGGCAGCGCAGCGGATACTTCCTTGCCCTAAAACCCTCTCAGAAATGAGGGGAGGCTTGTGCCCAGCAGTGGGACGTATATAGGCTGTAACTTTACTTTACTTTACTTTTATTCGGTATTCGGCATTACTCGGCACTTTTTTGTTACTCGTCGAATAGCGAGTAATATTTTTCATCATTCGATATTCGGCGAATAGTTGTCTGAATAAAATAAACTTATATAAAATGGACAGAAAAACTATAGATAGATGAAATAATTACTTGTATTTGTATTTTAATCAAAACACACTTAGTATTGATATATAATAATCATTAAAAATATAAAAGTTAGCAAAAATCAGTCATGTTGAAGTTAATAAGGCTTTTTAATTAATATTCAAAGTCTAAAAACGTCTGTGGTGCAGAAAAACTATTTTTTCTACACGATTGGGATATCGACTCGATCGTTGGTTGCCTTTTTTTTTGTAAACCAAACGTGCCTCAAAAAATAGTCTTTGAAAAAACAGCTTGCTTAGTATAGTTTAGCAAGCTTACTTAAAATTGACAATCGATTCTTATTGGTACTCAAAGACCACCATTTATATGGGTTTATACTTCTGTCAGCCTTTGCTAACCTAATGTAGTAGGCAATTTCATCAGAAATGGCATTATTGGGTTGCTCTTCATTAGGCTGCTCTGTTCTCGTAGATTTATATTCCTCGAAACATGCCCAAAATAGTTCATGAGTTTCTGAAATGATATCCCCCTTTTTATTCTCTAAGCGAGGTATTTTGGACGCTGCTTCTTACACAAAATGAGGTTATTCCCCGTAAAATATGTTACGTACAACAAAAGGGTTGCCATGATAATAGTCATAATCTTAGATTTTTTTAGATTACGGTAACATCAATGATAGGTAAGTTCAAGAGACTACTTAGACAAGTGTAATATTATTATTTGATAACAAATAAATTATTTTGTATATTCCTTTTTTTATGTCGAATAATTATAACCAGTTGACTATTCAACATAACAACTATTCGCGGCATCTCTGATTTTAACACAAAAAATATATACCAATTTACCATCATAAATTGGCTAAATATTTTATGAAAATCTTACCGGATTAATTATAAATAAATACAATTAAAATCAATACCTACATATAAATCACCGCCTCCTGTTTATTCGTGAACTGATCTCTATAATATATAACAACGCACGCAGACTCGACGACTTCCAGGCTCCCGAACAAGCCGGTTTCCGAAAAGGCTTCAGTACCATAGTCCACATACCTGCGTCAGATTGTACAGAAGACCAAAAAGTGCAATCTGTTACTTTGCCTGGCGTATGTGGACTATGAAAAAGCCTTTGATTCCGTCTAAATTTGGGCATTGCTACAGCCCCTTCAGCGGTGCTAAATTGTACTGTCGATATATCGAAGTGCTGAAGTGTTTGTGCAGTAGGGCTACAATGGCTATCCGAGTACAGAACCAGAGTACGATACCTATCCAACTGCAAAGAGATGTAAGACAGGGTGACGTTATATCCCCGAAACTCTTCACCGCTGCATTGGAAGACGTTTTGAAGCTACTGGACTGGAAAGAATACGGTATTAACATCAATGGCGACTACATCACTTACCTTCGATTTGCCGACGATATAATCCTTATGGCAGAATCGCTGGAGCTGGCAATGACCACAATAGTGTCTACCAACGGATAGGTCTTAAGATGAACATGGACAAAACAAAGATCATGTTTAATGTCCATGTCACACCTATACCAGTAGTTGTTGGGAGCACTAAGCTCGAAGTTGTTGACGAGTACGTTTAGCTGGGACAAATAGTCCATACCCGAGAGGTCAATCGACGGATTCAGCTCGGCTGGGCAGCGTTCGGGAAATTACGACACATCTTCTCGTCAGGTATATATACCTCAAAACCTGAAAACTAGATTGTACTGCCAGTGCGTGTTGCCAGTGATGAATTATGGATCTGAGATGTGATCCTTCACTGCTGTCCTTCATTGCTTTTGAGGACGCTCAAGGTCGCTCAGCGAGCTATGGAGAGGGTTATGATCGGGGTTTCTCTGCATGATAAACTTAGAAATGAGGATATCCGCAGTAGAACCAGAGTGACCGACATAGCTCAACGGATTAGTATGCTGAAGTGGCAATGGGCCGCCCATATAACTCGAAGAACCGACAACCGATCGGGAAAAATGTTCTCGAGTGTCAGCCTCGTACCGGTAGGCGTAGTGTAGGGCGACCCCCACTAGATGGAGTGACGACCTGGTAAGACGTGCGGGAAGTCGATGGATGCAGGTGGCTCAGGACCGTGATTTGTGGCATTCCTTGGGGAGGCATATGTTCAACAGTGGACTTGTGAAGGGGTTTGTGTGATAATAACATAGATTATCGATAAAAACTACTAGACAGTCGCACATATATGATTTTAGGTTATAGTGAGATTGCCGTTTGATTGTTAATTTATCAGTATTCCCGTTGGATATGGTAAAACTAATATCACTAGTGTAATCTAGAGATTGTAAGGAATAAATCGACATTCATTTCTTTAAGCTACGCCAGAATTTGTGGTGGGCCCATTCTCGATGCGAAAATAAATTGTCTCCTTTGAGATATATAAATTTATATTTCATTTCATACGTATCTACTGATTGGATTTGACTTGTTGCTCTTCTTTGTTTCTGTATTAGCCCTTCACAGTCCACAAGGACATGGACTTCTGTCATAATTGAGATCGTGTTATCAGACATTACCCAGTATTCCTCAAAACATGAAGTGTACAATTGATGCGTGTTTCCAGTGATGTCTTGACACGGAGTCAGCTGGCCGTACAATGAAGCTCAATCACTCTGTGAGAGTTTTTACGCGTGATAGAACCTTTAACGATGATGATGATGATATGTATGTAGAATCAGAATAACCAAAATAATTATTAGTTTTTTCAGTCTGCCTTTTAAGGCAGGCATAAGGCAGTTTTTGACATGATCTCTAGAGTTTTTAAAGCAATTAGATGAAAATAGTTCTCAGTTTTACTTTATACGTGTACTAACACGGGCTTGAAATTTAAAAAAAAAACAATATACCAAATAATGTTAACAATTTCTGGAGCTAGCCTTTGATACATGATTCGTTGATTTCGCATTTTTCTATGACTATATAGGTTTTTACGACGTACGTCGCCATGCTTTAGCTATATTTTAGTTATGGGTCGGCTCGACCGGGGAAGGACCACGCCCTCACAAAATACCAGGTCAAATAGCTGCTCAGTGCTGTTGTGTTTGGTATAGTGAGTGTAGGGAACCGGAGACCCTTTTACTGGAAACGAAGCATTTCATCTTATTCCTCGTGGGTGACTACGCATTTGCATTTTGAATACTAATTGCGGATAAATGTGGATGTCTATGAGCCACAGCATCCAATTACCATCAGATGGTCTGGGTGCACATGTCACCCAATTCTATAAAAAAACACAGTCTACCTGATGGTAAGTATGTGCTGTGGCCCATAAACATCTAAATCTATCCTTTGTTAAGACAACACCTGTGTGCTCGTTTGCCACCCTTATTATATTAAAAAAATGTAATGTAATGTAACATGTATAACCACGTCACAATAAACAGTGTGTTAATGATCACTATAAAAAGCCTTACAAGTAAGGATAACTCCTGTTTTCGTGAACAATGCGTATTATTTCGATTTTTTCTGAAGTACTTACAAATTCCATATAGCAACAAATTGATGTATGTTATTTCTTTCTTCGCAGAACGTCATTTGCTGACAAGAAGTCCACACAATAAAGTGCCTTAACTGGGTCCAGTGCGAGTAAGATTGAACTAGATAGAGCTAACATATAGCGGAAAGCAATACTTTAGCGAGACCGACGCGATCAGAACATTAATGGAAAAGACTGACATTAGCGCTCTTATGTTGGTAATGAAGATAGTGTTCCCCGTGCTGAAGATTTTGGATTGACTATAGGAATTTCTTTTTTGGTGGTGTTAGACAATTAATGGTAAGATTATATTATATAAAAATAATAAAATAACTAACAATCTATAGAGTGTGGTTTGTAAGATGATGTTGTGACCAGGATTAAGAAAAGAATGCTTCGGTGGTTTGGTCATGTGGAAAGAATGAATGAGGAAATGGTAACAAAGAAAATTTATGTTGCAGAAGTGAATGGCAGAGTCGGAAAGGGACGTCCTAGGCGAAAATTTTTCGACCACATTGGCGATTTATTGAAAACGGGCCAAATTAGGAGTACCCTTAACCGACGAGCATGTATGCGGAGGTGAATGGATGTGAAGGAGGCGAGAGAGGTGTCAGGATCGTGCCAAATGGAAGTCTGTAGTCTCTGCCTACCCCTCTGGGTGACAGGCGTGAGTGTTTATGTTATGTTATATGTCTATAGATGTCTCATTAATGAGACCTTGTTCATCTCAGTTTTTGAGAGATTCACGGGGCATGTTCTGTGTTGTGTACTACGTGTGTTAGGTACATGTTGGTACTTAGTAGGGGGTAGGGACTGTTACTGTAACCTAAATTATGGAACGGTATTCCAGTCATTTATTTTTGAAAACTCATACAAATCCAAATTTTTCTAACAACACAAAACAACTACAAATTTGTTGAAAATAAATTATATTATTTTGATTACTAGCTGTCAGTGCTGTTAAGAGAAATGTTCTCGTGAGTATCAAAGGGAAATGCTAGGGAAATCTCTTGGTGCTGCAGACACAATAATCTCGTACCAAAGCAGCGAAATTAAGACCGGTATGTGTCTTCTTTTATTTCTTCTAGCTTCAGTAAGAATTGACCAATTTCACATGGCCTAGAAATATTTCAAATTCCTAAGATAACAATATTCCTTTCGATGTTTTATTCACCGGTCAATCCAATAAATTGTGAATTACAATTTAAGCAGTGTCGACCGATGGATCTGTCTGGTCGACCCGTAAAACTTCGTGACAAAATTATTAAAATTGTCAGATCTATGCGATAACAGAAGTGTGTTGATAATACTTTTACATTTTTCCCTAATAATAATGTCCCTACACATCATACGAGCCTTACTTTCGAGGGAACCCGTTCTTCGAAATACTTCCTCAAGGCCCGGGTCCCACAGGGCTCCGTCATATCTCCACTCCTCTTCACACTCTTCACGAGTGATATCCCTAAAGACCCCGTGGTGAACACCGCACTCTTCGCCGACAATATGGCACTCTATTTGTCAGACCACAATAAAAATAGACTCTCGTTAAAGATTCAAAAAGCCACCAATCGCCTAGGTGAATGGTTCCGCCAATGAAGAATAGACGTGAATCCCGAAAAGAGTGTAGCAATATACTTTCAACGGAATACATCACCAGGTTCTAAACCATAAACGATTTCCCTATACGACTGCCCAATCCCTTGGGAAAAATCGGCCGAATACCTAGGCGTCACGTTCGACTCCCGCATGAGTTTCACGCGACACACATAAGTGTAGTACGCAACTGAGCCAAGTCGGTCATTGGCCATCGAGACCCTCTCGTTAACAGCAGGAGTAAGCTGTCGCTAAGACACAAAACCCGACTGTATAAAACCTGCGTTAGACCAATTATGTCCTACGCTAGTGTAGCTTTCGCCCAAACATATAAGACCTACATTTTAAAACTCCAAAGATATCAATTGCATAATGATTGTGAATTACCCTCTACCTCCGAATACTTCAAGGAGATGTCTCAACGCTACTTTGATAGAATAGAAACCCACCCAAACCCGCTAGTGACAAACGCAGCTAACTACGTTCCGATAACAAACGTCGCGCCCTATCTCCGTAGACCGCGAAATGTGTTAATAGAACGACCTTAACCGCTCGATCCAGTCGACCCAAACGTCGCAGCCACATCACACAATGACACTACACCCACACTAAATGGGACAAACACTACTAGGATAACGAATGGGGCGCGTCCAGCTCACACCGCGTACACACCGTACACCCGCGTTCCTGGGCGGTTCTCACCGCCCAGACCATCGACCGACAGGAGCTGAGCAGTCAGAGACGGGGGTCCGCACTCCCCCCCCCCCCTCGGACTGCGGTTAGATAGCTCAAAAAACGCCTAAATAGGCGACGTGATGATTGATAACAATACCAAATCATAAACCATTTCATCATCATCCTCACCTCATTGCCTTTCCCTTTTTTAAATAGCCCTGAGTCAGCTGAAGCTGTAAGAATCGCATAGATTAACAGCACAAACATCTAGATACTAGACTTTTCTTCAGACAGAATTTCTGGCACGGCGGCGAGTCTCAAAAAAGACTAACCATTGCGCAGGACAGGATTATAGTGCTTGCTAAAAAAAAAACATGTGTATATTATAATCCAATCTATAATAAATAAATAAATGCGTGCTAAAAAAAAAACATGTGTATATTATAATCCAATCCACAGAATGATAATTCTTTGGTCTCCTGCAAGATGTATCTTGATACATTATCGTAAACTTCATTACAAATTTGAATGAATCTTTTATCATACGTGGTAGAGCCATGCTGCAGCTTTATTATGGTTATAATACGAATGGGTCGGCTCGACCGGGGAAGTATCACGCTTTCACAGAATACCAGCGTCAAATGGCAGCTCTGTGCCGCTATGTTTCGTATGGTGAGTGTAGAGAACCGGAGACTCTTTTTATAGGAAACGAGGCATTCCATCTAGTCCTCAGAGGTGGCAATGCATCTGCATTTTGATTCCTAATCGAGGATAAATGTAGATGTCTTTGGGCCGCAGCATCCACTTAACATCAGGTGGACTGTGTGATCCTTTGTCACCACTATTCTATTCAAAAAAATCAGCCAGTAATAGTTCACTTCTGGAGTAGCCCTATTCTATTTTCGGAAGAATTGACTATATCTTCGCTGATCACAATACTAGCATTGCGATTGTGTGACTCTGGTCTTGTTTACCTGTGGAAATCACTCCGCAACTGCGTTCTCTTTTTTGTTATAATAATAATTTTGTATTGTGTGTATGCCATGTAGAGGATACGTAAGAGAATCCACTGCCCCATATCGTTCTGGGGGTTTCGTAAGAGGCGGCAGAGGAAAATGAAACAGGAGATGGACAACAGCATCTGTCTGATAACCTCAAAAAAACTGCGGTTGTCAACCCGCCTGCCAATCGTGGCAGTTAAGCCAAATAGACACTAATATAATTTAGAGTGGCAGTCCTTTGGTAGTCTTACCAGCAAGTGGTAAGGGCCCTTCAGTAGATGGAGTGACGACCTGGTAAGACATTCGGGGTCTATTCTCCCTGCGACTCTTTTCCTGCTACACTTCAATAACATATTTCTACCAGATATTGTTGAGAATGGAGGTGGCAGCACAGTCACAGAGATATTCATGTCCAGTGTCAAAGACGTAGGGGAAGTAACACGTTCACTCAGAGAGGCCATGGTAGAGCTGATAATTGCGACCTTAATTCTTGTCTCCCAATAGGGTGACGACAATCTGGTCACCTTCAACACCGCCAAAACGCAGGCCTGTCTGTTCTCCGCAAAACAAAGTCCGTTTAATCTCATTCCTACTTTTCGAGGTACATCTGTAGAGGTCACTGATCATTTCGAACTTCTCGGCATAAATTTGAATGCTAACCTCAACTTTGGCGCTAACATTGAGTCGAAACCACAAATCGAGGCCAAAAAACTGAGTATTCGAAACAAGATGAAGCGATACATTACGCTTGGACAGCTTCTTACTTTACACAAAGCTTAAGTCCAAACATGCGGGGAGTATTGTAGTCATATTTGGGATGTCTCAGCAAAATATTCACTCGCCGCACTCGACTCAGTGCAACGCAGAACCAAGAGGCTTGTCGACGACAAAAAGCTGGTGGAGACTAAGCTCCACAGCTCAGCTCACCAATGCCAAGTTGCTTGTTTGTCGGTCTTCTACAGATTGTGCTTCGGAGAGTGTGCCTATGAGCTTCATAAGCTCATACCGCCATCTCCATTCTCCTATCGGAATAGCAGAGGTACTGCACGTTATCATCCACACTTGGTTGACATTCCGAATATTCGAACTAAGCGCTATAGGTTTTTTTTAATAATGCGCACAGCTAAGGAGTGAAATGCTCTACCGGCGTCTGTATTTCCGAGTACGTATAACGGTAATCTCTATAAAATGCGTGTTAATGGGCTTTTACCATATAATCTTTTATTATATGGTATAGGGGTGACAAACGTCACCAAACACCAAACAGTCCACCTCATGCTAAGTGGTTGCTGTGACCCACAGACATCTACATCCATCCTCGATTACAAATCAAAATGCAGATGCATCGTAATGATGGAATGCCTCCTTTCCAGTAAAAACGCATACGAAACACAGCTGTGTTAACCTGCTATTTTACGCTGTTATTCTGTGAAGCGTGGTACGGTCCTGGTGGAGCCGACCCATTCGTGCTACAACTATACTGCTAATATAGCTGCAGCATGGCTCTACCACGTAAACCTGTCCTGGGCAAAATCGTTTCATTGTAGACCTCATCTTTGCCCTCGAGCCAGATGAAAGTCAAGATCGAGCCCATTTTTTATTAAAAAAATCATACAGGAAGTAAACATTACTTAGGGGAGGCTGCAGAGGACTTGTTAAGGGCTGTGATGATGATGATGAAACCCTATGAGGCAATATATGAGGAGGCCAATATTTAATCAGTGGACTTTTGATAGGCTGTATTGAATAAAAAAATATTTTACAGGCTGAAATAAGATATTAATAAAAAAAGACATCGGCTTATAATCGATACTGATACAGGATGG